CGGTTAACTTATTTTAATCTATCCAGGCTAAGGTAAATGTGTGAGCTTTTTGCAGCGAACATGGCATTAATATAAAGTGGGATAAAATGCGAAAATTAATATTGCAGGTGCGTGGAAATGGCATAACGCGTTTGTTTATTATCGTGGCGCAATTCATTCATCGCCTTATTAGTGGGAATCGTGTGAGGAATAAATGTCTGGAGGCCGCCGTTTATATTGTGATAGGAATAATTATTTGTGCGGTCAATATAAACCACCCCATTGTGTTAGCCTAAGTTTGATCGAGTTAGTTTTGTGTGTGCCGAATAAGATAAATATGAATATAGCTAACGTTCCTTTATCGCGTCCTTGAAAGTGGTGAAAAGGTGTATGATTAACATGTGTATCGTGTAAAAGAATCTTCTACTGGTTTCTAAAAAAAAAAAATTTATTTTTATTTAACTACGGTAAATGGATTGAACTGTCCAAAACCAACTCTATAAAACTGAAACCGTCAAGTAATTTCCTCGGAAAACGTAGATATACACATTTATGAAAACTACAAAGTAATGTATAAATCTTTATTTATTAAATAAAATTTATTAAATCACGATACTTGAGACGAATCTTATATTAAAAATAAGCCGGGGCCCAACGGGGCGTAAAATCCCACAAAACCCTACAATCCGAGAGCCTCTCACTTCGACGATATCAAATTCAACTCGTATTAAGCCCCCTCTGAAATAATTTTGATAGCTTCAAAGCTGAAAGGGTTCGAGCCGCAAAGCGCCGTAGCGCTCGCCACAGAGCCAAACCATTACAACACTAATCGGCAGAGTGCCGACTCTCTAAATATCGCTTTTACACATATTTATCGAACCATAAATAACGACTCTATGAAAAATATAAATGTTCTCTTTTTTCTATCGCTTTCCGAGTTTCGCGTTTTTTTTTTTCATAGAGTCAAAAGCTTGAACAGACCACTTTCGCATTATGGAATTGCCAAAACTCCATTCCGAGCCGTCCATTTGAATGTCTTATGAATATTTTGCTGGAACCGGATCTCTGCTCTAACAAAAGGGTGGAAATAACATTTCTGGTTGCGGCAAATTTTCAGTTATTACGTTTTGTAGCCCAGGTCGACAGTCGGCGTAGAAATGAGATATTTTGGAAGTATTACGCAAATTGGATAGCTTTCAACACTCAACGGAGTAGGTTCCGAACTTTCGCGGGGAAAATTGAATTAAAAATATCATAAGACGCAAATATGTATGGAAGCCGTAATGATGTTGCCCCAAGTGCAGCTGAAGATGGTTTACTTTGAAGTAGGGAAAACGCTACTGCACTCTATAATTGATTTAAAATTCAATTACATTTTCCTGTTCCGTTATGCATTTTAAATACTGTATTTCTATTTTAGATATTGGTTGTACTTTACACACACGGATACTTTTATAAGGCTTAGGGAAAGGATGAGAAGTGTTACAGTCTCATTGCATATTTTATCCATAACTATGGACGTATATCTTGTCTATGTTTGTATATAGATTAAATATTGGTTGTTTCAGCATTTATACTTAATATTACGAAAGCTTAATGAAACGTAAAAAAACGGTCGACGGGCATGCTTGTCATTATCGGTGAGCTAGGATCATATTGAAGGCCGTCGGTAGTAATCAATATCATATCGTTCGAGATATTGTTAACAAAGTAATCATCGTATATGATGATGACTACTTTGTAAACAAGATCTTAATTATAGTTTCCACCGTTAGACGACTGGCCGAGTGAAACTTGCCGCGCTTAAACTTTGAAGTTTAGTTAAGAAATTTTAATTAAATATCTGTATAACTCGCCAATCCTTAAAGACTTTGAATGTTTCTATGGAAAACAATATAATTATGTAACAATTTTCATTTATATTAAAATGATTATTGTAAACGCAGTTATTTTTACAAAGAAAACTACTTACATCTTTTAAATAAAAAGATGGCAAGCCAGCTGGTTGTTCACCTGATTTTAAGTGATAACCACCGCCAATGGACATTTACAACACCCTTAACGGATTTGTATCCCATGCGTTGCCACCTTTTAATAAAGTGGGCTCCGTTTACCTCACTTACCATACGAAACGCAGAAATATGTATAACACTTCCAATTCACCACAGTATTTTTATTACGTCTTTAAATAGACTTCGGTCTTAGGTTGGCCGAAGTGAGGAAAATATGTTCACGTGGGGACTCTTAGAAAATTCACACCTGGACTGTATGTGTGGAGCAGTGCAGTCCATGGCTCATCTGATGTCCTGTCCTGCCAGCCCTTTTACCTGTTCGCAGCAGGATCTGATGGATGCCACAAATTTTCCTGTCGAAGTGGCTAAGTTCGCCGGTAAGATATGATATGTTATTGACACGTAAAGAAGAAGAAGAAGAATTTGTTATGATAAATCTGGCGTTTGAAGTACTTTACGATCTATGCAGAATGAGCTTACAGTTTTAAATCTACATTGTGCATTAATAGAATAAATCGGAGTTAGGTACATCTGAGCAAAGATATATGTAAAAAGTATGCGAAAAGAATATTGATGAAGCTATGATAGCTCAGTGTCTGGGCGCTCGCCTTTAATTCAATATACTCGCGCAACCTGAGTTCGATCACCGGTACGAGCACTGATGAAATTGTTAATTTTAAGTGCTGCCTTATTACGTGCTCCGCGCTGAATGAAAACATCGTGAGGAAACCTGCATATTTTCAAAATAATAATAAAAATATTACGAAGATATGTGAAGTTCGCCAATCCGTGGTGGACTAAGCCCTGATACCCTCTGCATATAGTAGGCCTTTGTTACCAACTGTGGCACATGTATAGGCTCTTAGTTCACTTAACTTTAATATGTAATAAAAATGGAGATAGTTTAAATTTTTAAGGTATTCTAACTTTTCGGCTATTCCCGTACGTGGCAAAATCCGTCAAAGTCAAAGTCTACAAAAGAAATAATCATGAATATTTTTGTCACTACTTTTTGTAGTTGGACACTTTTATGTTAATGTTGAGGTTAAGTTCAGTCTCTACGAAACCGAAATGAATGATTGATTCACTCTAAAGGTAAATGTTAAATAATTATCACCGAGTATGTTCTTGCGCAATAAATGTAAAAACTAATTGTCAGAGCCCATCGTCAATAGATACCGTAACGTATAGGAACTGGTATGAGAGTAAACAAAAAATGGAAATAATCACCGAAAACAGGACCTCGGCAATTTTTCGATAATTACGAGCGGGCAGCCTAAAATTACCCGATCGGACTACTTGAGCGTGGGATGAAGACGGCACACATGCGTCAATAATTGTTCCTTATTAAAATGGACGCTAATCTTTACCGAAGCAGACCCGGCGAGGGCACCATCGCATTATGCCTAAGAATCGACAGCTATAATTTCTGTTCAATCAAGATTTAATTGTTTTAATGAGGCTGCATGCGTGAATCGCCGGTCCAATTATTGTTTTATTTTTAATCGCCTCCAGTGGTTTTTATGTTCGCAACCAGACGGGCATGGGCCCTCGGGTGATCGTTTTCATTATTTTAATAATGTAAACTACCGATAATAATTTACAGTGATTTGGGGCTAAACACGTTTAGGTGTATTTATGAATTTCTCGGCATCCGAATCAAGAAATTTTGTTGTTTTTTTTTTTTGTGATGTCCCAAGTGGTGTTCTAATTATTTACAAAGTTTATTATCGAATTATGTAATAATTATGTTTGATATTTTGATATTATAATAAACATTATTGGGTTTCTTAATATTATTAAGAATCTCAAATTGAAGTTGGGATTAATGATTTTAAAGGAATATTTAAGAGTACAAAGTACAACTGATAGTGTAACACCAAAGTATTTGAATAATTTTCCAAACAAGAACGATTTCTGTAAAAGTCAGTAGTACATATTGTCTTTTTTCATACTTATAATATTAAATCCTTTTTCACAAATGTATATAAATAAATGGAATATAACGAAACGGAAAGAATTAATAAGATGATTCTATAATCACTTGTAGCAAGATTGTATATGACTTACTTCCCGCAAGAGGATTACTGATTTAAGAAATTGGTTAAATGGATAATGGATTACTTTTGTAGTAAGCCGTGGCCATGTAATGGAGCAACATGCATGCTACTATTGAATCACGAATCTGTCAATAAAACTTTCCGTTTATTATTATAAACCGAAGCCATTTGGGCAAAAGTAAACAAATAAGGCCACCCGAGCAAACGGCAATAACAACAAAATTGACCATTTCGAGCCTCAATTAGGAGCAATTGTAACAGTGACGTCGTTGAAATAAACTAGACCTGGCTCCATTAGAGGAGAGTTAATCTCGATGACGGAACACATAACCGTCGGCCGATAATGAGTGGAGCGTGAACCTTGCTAGAGAGCGATTTACAAACTCCTAAAGGCATTTGGAACTGCACTGTCTCGATACAGAATTTTAAGGCGAGCTAATCTTGCTTCGGTACTAATCGCAGGCTGATATTTAGACCGAGTTTGAAGATAATAGAAATTCTATACAGAATGCCTTTGCAAAACTTGGATCATTGTTGACACACAATTTTAAATGACAACTCATTAATCTGAGCAATAAATTAACAGTGTAATATAAAATAGTTACTATTGCTATAACCGTTCACTATAATGTTTAAATAACGCAGCATAAGTAGTATATTTAATGTTGGTTAATAAATAGGCCCCGTTGCAATTTATTATAGCTCTTGGGCCAAATGATAATGTTATGCCTGTCCTCGGGCTGTGATTAGGGAATTTACGTACATTGTTACAGAGCGGAGCGGTCGTCGGTGGTTACGTTGCGCCGGCAATAAATACTGTGTACTGACACCTCAATTTCGAAAATCCAAAGGTCTATAAAGTTCGAGGAGTGCAATGATAGAAAATTAGCGACGTCCTAGTAAGAGTTGGGGTGAGGTACGGCTGGCCCGCGGCGGTGGCGCGCGAACAATGGCCGCGTATGCGCACCACACGCCGCGACAAGTCTCGGACAGCCTCGGGCGCACGCGACAGGGACGGCAATATCTGAAGCTCGGCGAACGGACAGGGACGAAAGCTGTCGCTCTCGTGAGATATTGATTTATTCGCTCTAATTACCGAGTAATAATCTACTTTGCATCCCCCGTTTTGACGTTATGATAATTTAGCACCTTTACGCCGGTGCCCGAGCGGTGACCGTCCGCCATCCGAGCAGCGATTGATAATAATCGCCAGCGAAGCATAATGGCGTACACCCACGGGTAATTATTGTTGTGTAGTCGTGAGTTCGTGAGGCGGTGGAACAGCGGAATGCATCTCCTTCGGGGGTTGCGCCGTAAACCAGCGAGGTTCCGCCGCCCGCGTAAATAACTGATCCTTTTCCGTGCTAATGATAGTGCCGTTGAGCACCGCTTCCCCCGCACTAGATGCCCGGCGATACAATTATTAGTATAGCAGTGTTGGCTCCTCATAAAGTGTGAAACACGCGCGTTATAAAAGTGGGAATCGTGAACATTCACGTTTTCACGGACCACGACACTACTTCGTTTCGAAGGTACCTATTTCGGAGCAACCTAACGCTTGCACGGGTGACTCACGCACGTGGTACCTCGCGGGGAAATCGCGGGCGGTTCGGACGCGAAGAATGCTCTCGAAACCGCCATTACAGGCGGAAACAAGCAGCGGACGCGACGTGTGTGCGTCTATATGGGTTCCGTGAATCGCAATAAAGTCGGGCGAGGCTCGTGAGCGGCCGCGGGTCACAATGAAGCCATTCCATTGTCAGGCACCGGATCACCGGCCGGGGGCTGGGACCGCGGAATGCAGCAACAAACGTACGGAGGTTGCATTGACGTTTGGTCACGGGGCATCGGCGAGAGTACCTCTTGCGACGCTAATGGGCCCGAGTGGCCGACGGCTCCGTTATCCCTCGTAGCTAATGATTGGCCGGCATTAAGGCCCGCCGTTCCGTGCGATTATTGGATCTAACAGATAATTTTATATCGCATTGTCCCGGAGCGTAAAATTTTCTGTTGTTATTACGGGACACGGGCACGCGGGGAGACGTCTGTATCTCTCCATCTTAGACAAGGGCTCGGCCGTCGAACGAATTAGCAATTAAGCTGATACGATGGCTATACTAAATTGCAATACCCCGCTAGTTATATCGCTGTTTCTGTATCCATCCGTTTTGTTCAATCGTTGTATATAAAATATCAAATTATTTAATCAAAAAATTCTCTTTTTAAGTTTATGTTCTGGATAATAACAGTACACCATATTTTATTATCTTTCTCGATGGACAGTAATCAACAATTGGGATTATATAACAATTTGGGATCTATTAAATTTATATTATTCTTTGTTTTTCTTATGGTAAAATAAAGTTCAACTTCAGATTTATTGGCGGTAAATTATAATAAAATAATTAAATTTAAGAGTTGTTATAAATATATTCTTTATAACATTTTTCTAACTACATTTTAATTTACAACATTAATTAAATGTTAATGGTACATACATATGTCAATGTAAATAAAGCTTAATATCTCCGTAGGAAATTCGACTTACTAGTAAAGTAGGTTCTTACTCCCATAATACAATTGTTATATACTATTTTCTGCAATAAAAATATTAAGATATCTTGGAGGAATAACGGTAATATTTATTATAACAATAATATGGTCAATGAAATACATACGAAGCTGCAATTATAATGTGCCCTATCCCTCTTAACGTAGTTAACTTAGTACTATAACTCATCGTCTAAATAACAAGATAATTGTAATAAACGCCACAGATGATAACGGGTGATGTTATGAAGAAATTACGAATAGAATTATCTCGGCGCGTCTGGGACGCGGGGTTCGCGCCTTTGCCTCACGTTCGCCATCCATCCACGCCGGTAATGAGAGCTCTAAATCAAACAATAGCATTAAAGTGTCAATAGCGAAGAGATAACACCTCGGCGTTTTCTTTTGCACGCGGAATTATGCCCATAAATCCGTAGAAGGCCCGCTCCGATCCCGCGACTATCCGATAGCGTTTCATTTGTAGCCGGCCACTTTGTTATCCGATGTCTCTTATTTGGTATTAGGAGTATTGTTGTGTAAGACGTAATTTATTAACGTTTTCTTCTATCGCACCATGATATTTCTGCTGTGGCAGAGTTAAGTTTGCCGCCTAATTTACTTTAATATTCATAATATATCAAAATGAACTTACTGTAAATTCGACTAATAATTATTGATGCGAAGTTTGTTAGCAAAATATTAAAAAACCAAATCGATAGTCATCAACTGCTAAAACTTTTTAACTTCCGCGTTCCTTTAATTTCTTGCAAACCCATCACACCGCTTTGTCCTCCATTACGAAGAACAGTTCTAGCTAGTAACTTTTACTAAATTTTGTAAAATTATTAATGACTATAGTGATCGCATTGATTTTCAATATGACTCGATTACAAAAATAACAAGTAGAATATAATTTAAAAAACCAAAAACTTTTACATTTTTTTTGTGTGATAAAGTGGCAAACAAGCTGGTCGTTCACCTGATGTTAAGTGATAACCACCGCCCACGGACATTTGCAACACCAGTTGCAGATGTGTTGCCAACTTTTATTGATGTGGGCTCCGGCTACCTCACTCACCAGACGAAACGCACAGGTGTAACACTTCTACTTTACCTGACTGCGGTTCTGTGTAATTTATTATTTTGATATACCCAGTGTCAAGCTATAATCCATCAAGCCGTTAATGGTTGCAGAGCGTGCCAAACAATTATACATACATACATACTCTCGAAAACCATGACCCTCGGGTAAAAAGTATGTATTTATCTAATTAGTCAATAATAGTAATTTTATTATCAATCATTATTAATCAAGTAAGTTATGTTGACTACCCGTGCACAGCCTACTGTTAAATTTAGTCTAAGTTATTTAATTATTTGATTTATTTATATGGTTTTAGTTGTACATGTGGTGTTTATCTTTAAGTAGTTGTTATACTAATATATGTTTAATCTTAAGTTATCTACTCAGCTTTAAATAGTATCCAGTGTCAACAATTGTTAACAAACCTTATTAAATAAATATAAAAATAGTATAGTTCGGTTGTTAGTCTATATTGATAGTTGCATGGAATGTAAGCTAATAAAATAGACATATTGTTTGTTATTAAACTTACTACTGATTGCCATTTCGGTTATTGTTCTCAAACAACTTCTTAATATCTGCTGCAATCACAAACTACAATTTGATTATTTTTATAGATCATATGTCAATGATCTATAAAAATAATCAAATTGTAGTTTGTGTGCGGAAACTAATATTTATAACATTTGTCTGCCTTGTTGTTCTGTTTATATCTTACTTTCACCATAATATAAAACGTATAAACCATATATAAACCATAGGCATAAGCTGTTCCTCAAGAAAGGATTTTTTTACGTTCAGTGAAGACATTTTGATATCATTTATTATACCTTTATGCATATTTCGCGTCATTTTATGTGAATTATTGGATTCAAGAAGGATATGGTAAGATCTAAAACGAATATATAAATAAAAGAAATTAAAACTTATGTTCGCAATCAGATACATCAATTAGCACTTAACCACGAATAAAGTCGTTTAATAGCGAAGCTTAGTCTTAAGGACTTCAGACTTAAGTTTGAGAAAATTTTTGAAATTTTATGAAATGATCAAAATGCGAAGACCATCTATGAACAAACGAGTTACACAAGATAGCACAAAAACAATAATAAAGACTTATATTTTATAGATTGTTAAGAACATTTTCGTGTATCACATTCACTGGCACTTCACATAGGATTTGGCATTTCGCAGTTATAAATGATTCGATAAATTACGATGTTTAATTTCCCACTTATCGACGCCCTTTTAATGTCGACCTTTGTACTGGATTGGGGAGAATACAGACAGCATTTGAATTTATGGTCTCCACTTTCGCAATAGTATAAAGTCAGTCCGCTTCGAACACTATGATGATGAAACCAAATGCGGTGACCTAAGTGCGAAGACGAACTGCATCTAAGACTTGACGACGAAGAAAGATCAGCTGTTATCTACGTATAAGAACTCAAAAAAAATCTTGAAGTAAAGCTTGACTTTTTTTAATTTGACGTATTTTTTCCAATTTCACGTAAATAAACAATGTATTGTTTTGTAACTTACGCTGCTAATTCTTTCTGCTGACCATTGATAAGAATCTGCTTCCCCTATGGCTTAAAATTACCGAATTCTGTCTCCGGTCACCCAACTTTACAAAACGTGAATGATCAAACAAAGATGCACCGTGTGTGGCAATACCTGATATATATCACAGAAATAGTGACATGAAAAATAATATGAATGTAAGATCTTTTTTGTTTCTTTTTGTATAACTGATGTCACACTTTCAGTCCTTAGACTATTAAAGCTTCATCGAACGGAGAACCGGTGGGCTAGCCAGAACCCGTGGGTTCCTGTAATGACGTATCCTGTAATAACGATCACCTCCGTGTATAATGGATTAATAATACATTCAGCTTCTATATGTACGATTAGATTGTAATAAAGCAGTTGCATTTTTAATGATATTAAGGGAACATTGAAAGTTTTTTCAACTGGTCAATTAGAAAGATTGTTGATGAAAACTTCTTTTAATTTTTGAGTATAGAAAGAACTCTTTGGTAACCTAATGTGATATATTGAAATCGTCTGTCATTTGTTTTTGTGAATTGGCGGAAGTTCCAAAAGTCTTGTTACACCTCAACATGAATTAACTCGAGAAAATTTTCAGCCATGATTTATTATGACTTTCGTTGAGGTATGATATAATGACTATATACAGATATACAATATATGATAACTGTAAACAGACTGGTTTACATAATAATTTCTTGACATAGATCGGACACAAAATTAATAATACAAAAACTGACGGTAGCCCGGGTTAACTTTGACAATCAGACGTCTAACACCTCAGTATGTCCCGTGACCATGAACGCTGTAAAGGGTTCGAAACGTCGGGAACTAAAATTAAAAATAAACGCGATAAATCCGTAAAATTAGTTTCATTTATAATGTTTTCATACTGTTTTTATATTTGGTATCCGTGTGCGTATTATTGATTGCATTATTATTGATTATTGATTGATAAAATAACTTCAGTTTTTATGTTATATTTGACAGTGTTCTATCAACATGATCAACCAACAGTGGGATTTACACCTAGTTGGACCAGTGTCATGGCACAACGATCCGGTCAATGCGTCCGAAGGGGTTGGTTATGCATTTGTATAGTTGTACAAATTGCACGCCCCGTGTTTATCTGCGCCGCACGACCCCCGACCCCTGGCTCCTATTTATCTTGAACCCCTTTCCGCTGGTGACATTCGATTGACTTTGTAGCGTTTTGTTCGAACACAACCGCTCGAATTGCTCTCGGAAATAGAAAAAATTTAAAAGAAGATGTGCATAGAGATTGTATATCAAAATGGATGATATATATATATATATATATATATATATATATATATATGATAGAGGTTATATAATTATATATATTACGTTAGAGAAAAACGATTTTTGTGATGAACCATTTAGACGTGTAGCAGCTGGAATAATTTCAAATATCAAGTTTAATTATTTTTATAGTAAATATAAAAAGTCGTTTTAAACCAAGAGTGTTAATAATTTCGAGTAGTCTGAATTCTCTATTCACTAGTGTATGTTTTACTTTATAAAGTGAAATAGAATTTAACGCGCATATATATAAGTAATATATCGTTAACAAATTCTGTATGTTAACAAACTATGTATGTTTACATTATTATTTCCGGAGGCCCAATTGAATTTAGATTTTATAATTGGTTATTTCGATATATAATAAGCATTAAATGCCTTGGAATCGCACACTTACCAACCGGATACCAATAAGGATAAATCAGTATATTTAAAAGCAGCTAGGTGTGTTGTTG